TTTTTTTTTTGGTAATAAAATAAACGAAAAAAATAAAATAGAAAAAGTAGAGAAAATGTTATTTTTTTTCTCTCTCTATTTCTGGTAAACCACGATAGAAACAAGAACAACTTTTATTCTTATTCTTTTTCTTTGTTCTAAGTGTATGAAAAAAAAATTAATAAAGATCATTGAACTGAAATTCGTAAGTAGATTTCTGACGACAAAATTCAAGGCTAAATTGTTTTTTTTTTTCAACATGTAAAAAAGTTTAGAAATTTTTAAGATAGAAATCTTACAAAAACAAAAAATAAAAATATTTTTTAGAATAAATATTTCTTTTGCTTTTATTTTTTTTTAATAATAAAATAAAGAATAGATTTTATAAATTATTAAACACGTTTTGACCATGTTTGATTGCTTTTTCCTTAAAAATTCAAATAAAAATTATTCAAACTATATTATGAATGTATGTATGTAAGTATAAGACCGTAAGACCCACTAAATTTGTACAGTTTTGATTGCAATTTCTTGTATTATTTCTTTTTTGTTTTGTTGAAAACGAATAGCTTATATCCGTTTTAATTGTATTGTGTGTATGAAATAAAAATTTTTTTAGCATAAATTATTAAATAGGCTTTTTTAAAAAAAAAAATATTGATCAAGGTAATATTTTGGCATATAATTGTGGTTTTTTTTTTGGTCTAAAATATAGAACAACATAATCATATTTAATTGTAGGTGTCTTTCTGTTTTTTATTCTTTAATCACATAAATATGTGACACAATTTTTGGTTTATTTTGCTAGGGATTATGTTTCATTGAATGGACCATTTAATTTGATTGAATTTTCATAATCAGAATAGTGGAATTGCTAAATTACTATTGCTAATATTTTGTGACATTTTCTTAATATTTCTTTATCAGATAAAATCAGATATTTTGCAAACTTCACGAAAAATCATCTAATTCAATTAGATGATTTTGATCTGCAATACGAAAGTATGCACAAATGTTGAGAAATGTTTGGCAATAATTGAAATTTATTAAAATTAATATTATATGTATTTTTCAGCAATAATGTTAAACACATTTTGGTGTATGGATCAAATGAAATTCAGATTTTTAATAAAATTCAAAGCTCACAACGTTATACGAAAAAAAAAATTGGTGAATTTCACTTATTTTTATGAAAAATTTTTGCCATTAAGCTTTAAATTTTTAAGCAATGCGTTAAATTCTTGATCTGAGTGTTAAATTAGCAGATTATTAAATAAATCCGTACATATAATTATTCTTCATGTAAATAAGAAATCATTGTATTCTAATAATTAACTCTATTAACTCGAATTTTGAATTTGTTTTAAATACACACTTCACTATACACTTTTGATATTTATTTGAATTGTATATCAAATTTTTAATCCAGATATAAATCCAGATTTTTTGTTGAAAATAAATTTCACTTTTGCATTATTGAATCCCTTTCTTTAATTTGAAATTATTTTCAGAATAATTTTTAATTATTTCTATCAGAGAAATGTAAAAAACCAAAATAAAATTTTTTATCACTTGCAGCATTGCTGTTTGAAAAAGGTGTAAATGTGTAGTTAGCCAACAACTTTTATTATTTTAAGATCTATAATTTAATTAATAATTTTCGATTTTTAATTCCTCTATAGTTTTAATTAACAATTTTGAATTTTGTAAATTTTTCAGTAATACAATTATGTTCAATTGCTGCTTAATTATACTAACTTGATTAACATTAACTTATAAAGCTGAAATATTTGAATCTATTGAAAAAATTTATTAAAATTTTTTTAATTATTTTTAATATATTGAAATAGGTAGAGAGGACCTGCACATTATTTTTTCTAAAGTACATTCAAATATAAACTCAGATCAAAAACATATTGTTAAAATATCAAAAAAACAAAAAAAAAAAAACAAAAACAAAATAAATAAAACGTTTGTATTATGTGATCCGAAATTAAGAGGCGCGTATCACCTGTAACTTTAAAATGTTAATTTTGAACTAAATTATAGTTAAATAACATAAAAAAAAATATAAAATAATATTTGCAAATTTTTTTGTTTTTCAGCAATCATTTTTAGCAGTTTTATTTTTTTATTTCAAAATAATACAAGAAAAAATATGAACTTAATAATCAATAAAAATAAAAAACATCTTTATCTAACAAATTTACTCTTATATTTAAAGAGAAATAACAGAAAAAAAATCCATGGTAAATAAATTCCATAAAAGGTTAAATAATAAAATACCATAAGTAGACACACACACACAAAAAAAAATAAGATAAAATATGAAAAAAAAATTTTTTTTTTATTTTTTTTACATGCCAATTGAAGATAAAATAGAAATTAATATTTTCAATTTAAAATCAAAAAAGGAAATTTATAGTAGGTTGAATTTTACTAATTTAACTGTTTATAATATAGGCCTAATTTTACAACTAATGAATGAAATTTTTATTTTACAATAGGGAAATGAAATGGACAAATGTGTTACAATAAAGTTCATTTACACTTTAAAGAAAATTTGCACCTTTTTTTTTGCTACCGATTAAATTTTATTTAAAATTTTTTTGGTCAAGCCGCATTTAATCATTGAATATATGTAAGTCATTAAGAAATATTTTCAGCTAGACTAAATGAAGTTTGCAATTTTATTTATTTACAACAATAATCGAATTGTAAATAATTTAATTAATCAGAAGGTTTATTGGAAAATAGTGCAAAATTCAAAAGTTATTCAACTGTATTAAAAAAAAATAAAATAGACTAATTATAAAATTTGGCTTCATTTGTGACCATGACTTGTAACAAAAAAAAACGGCTCAGACTATAAAAATGATGGTTGAGATTTATTTGGTTATCAATATGTACATTCTACAAAGAATTCACTTTCATTTCAAATTAAAAGCAGTAATTTGTTCTTCGGCAGCTCTCAATTAAACCTTTATATGCTTAAAATTTAAATTTTTATAAAATTTATTAAACACCATGTAACATCACATACTTCCATATTAAAAAAAAAAATACAACAAACGTTAGTAAACAGCTGTCTACATTATCACTATTATGATTCGAAAGAAAAACTGACCTTAAACTGAAATTCTAATCAATGTGTACGTTTTGTGTTTGTAATATGATTATCGATAAGAATAAATAAATTGTGCGTGAATCTAGGAAATCATGTACCTACCTAGTAAGTTAGTATTTAGGTACTTAGTCGTAAATTTTTAAGTAGGTATACATGATTTCCCATTTACTTGAATAGAATGCAAACATCTGCTTTTGTACTTAAGATATAAATATGTAATTATTTATACAAAATTACCACAAACGGTATTAGTAAGAAAGTTCTATAAATGAAAAAATATATATGTATATAGATTTCATGAAAAATTTATAGGAGTCATAAGATTTTTCTATAAGAAATTTCAGATTTTTCTTAACTACTTGAGTGTTATACCAATTCAAATTTATGCGTGTAGGCATAATGTGTAAGTAGGTAGGTACTTATAAAAGTATGAGTAGGTACCTTCCTATTTACTTACAAACATACTTGAAAATAATTTAATACACTTTGATCACTTACATAATACCACATATGTATATAATTTTAAGTTATTTGAATTATCACGCAAATCAATGATTATATTATCGATATTTAATGTTTGTATTTAAATATTATGTAAAAAAAAGTAGGTACACCCATATTATATACAAACATTCAATTTGGTAGATAATATACCCATTTATGAATATACATATATATATATAAGCTTCAATGTTCATTTGAATAGAAATAAAGAGCAAAAAATAAAATAATTAATGTTAAACAAAAATAATTAAGCAACAATGTTACTTATATGATAAAGAGCATGGCTTTAAGCTTAACTGAAAAAAAAAAAAACAAATTAATATTTTCTCTTTCCTTCCTGCTTTATTTTTTTGATTTTATTAAAGCACGTTTAATATTGGTTTATTAGCTTCTCATTATATTTAAAGTAATTCAGAAATATGTACACATGTACATACACACTAGGTAATATCATACATACCATTATAAATACAATTTGTAAAATAATTGTTTATTGATGAATTATCAGAGAAAAGTTTGTAAAACAAACAAGTATCTACGTTGATATATATCTATGTATATACTAATATTGGTAAAATAAAATAAAATAAAAACTGAAAACTAAGCATGAATTTATTCCAAAAAATTAAGAAAATAATTTTTTTAATACTCTTCTCTAGCTTTAATTTGAACACTAACTTACACTATTTTGCATCTGAAAATCAAAAGAAAAAGGCGAGACGGATGAGGTCACCAAACTTTTGACTTTTTCATTTTTTTTTCTTCTTGCTTTTGATTTTTTTTTTCTTTTATGATGATTATCGACTCTATTATTTTAGTTAAGAACAAACAATATTTGAATAGAAAATTTTATGATTCTAAAAATAAAGAACTTAATTTATGAGGAAATAACATTCATAAATTACAATATTATATTTAAAAATTTATTTTGTTTTCTCCTAATATTAAAAAATATGGAAAAAAAAATAAAATGCGTACAAAAGAAAAAGAAAACCCTAAAATGACATTTTAGTGTAGATGTAAATTTTTTTTTTGTTCTTATTTCTGGGGATGAGACCCGCGCACAAGTCTATCCCATTTAAATAATATGAAAAATCATTCAAAAACTTTTGTAATAATAAAATTTTGTCACATTATTTACAATAAAATTGTTTTTAAATGTAAAAATTAATAAGAAATTGTTGATTCAATAAATTTTTTTTTATCAAAATTCTACAATTAATCATCCCTCCATCTTTTTTTTTTTGTATTTTTTATATGTAAAGTAGGAAAAAAAAATGAGTAAAACGCCGCAATGCAAGGTCATGCTTTTCATTTTTCTTCTTTTGATTTTTTTATTTCAATTTTTATTAAAATAAATATACTTTTAATTTGTTATATTTTAACTTACCTGTTAAATTACACTTATTGTAAATTAAATATTTGATATTTATTTAAATTTTGCACTTTTTTAATCACTTTTTATTTGAAAATGAAAATTAATGAGCGCGGATCTACACACAACTTTGTATTACAAGCAAAGCACAAAAGTATTTTAGAAACTTGGTTGCAAATGGCGGCTTGCCATTTCTATTCATTTCCAAAGCAAACACAAGCGGTGTGCTTATCAAAATGACATTTTAACAAGTTTCATTAATGTCAAAAATTGGTTTGAATCCTCGATTAACAAAAATAAAGAGAAATTAAAAATAATTTTAGATATTAATAAAAATATTTGGAAAATGCTTTTTTAGTTTAATTTTTATTAAATTTGGAAGGAAATTCTATTTGTGCGGTCAATTGTGATTACAAAAAATTATTTGTTTACAACATTTAGGGCAGAATGTATTATGAAAAAACATAAAAAAGGAATATTATGGAAAGTTTCTTATTTTGACCGACTTTGAGCAGCACTTTCATTATTTTCAATCATTTATTTTCACAGATGTCGCTTTGGGAGATTTGTCAAAAAATGTGAATTTTCAAAATTGATTGACAGCAAAAATGTCAGAATCAGAAACCATATTTTTTTTTTCAGTTCATAAATTGACAGTTTTTAACGGATTTTTCATTTATAATTTTGCTTTCAAGGAAAGTGGAAGCATTTAAATTTTTTACATTCTGGAATTCAGTTTATATCCTGGCTTACAACGCAATAAAATACGGTAAAAAGTAATAAATGGATTTAAATAAAAATACTGTTACCGAAACCGGTGATAAAGTAGAATTAAATAATGATACAGAATATAATGGAGATACAGCTGAATTTCTAAAAATTTATTCTAAAATGGCAGAAAATATTCGGTAAGTATTTATTTAATCATTTTAATAATAAAATCCTTGAGAATGAAGGTAGAAGTTTCAGTATTGCGGTTGTTTTCCAGGCCATGGTTTGCGCAAATATGTATTTTTATATATAATCATATTGCACAATCCCCGGCCTGAAAAACTATTTGAATTTCATCATTATAAAAAAAAAGCGGGAGGTAGGTTTAATACATTATTTTCTTTAAATATACAATAATTTAATTATAAAATAAAATAAATGAAAATTAATGTTGAATTAAATCAAATAAATTAAGTAAGTACTAAATGTAAAAAAAAAATTTCAGAGATGAACATTTTGAAGAAATATCAAAAATTGTTAAATCTGAAAATATGACTTTTAATATAGATTCATTGCGTCTTAATTTTGTTGATAGTTTAGGAGATATTATAAATAAAATGTATGAAGCAAGGAATTTAAAGCAAAAATTATTAAAAATGAAAGTTCTAGAGGAAAGATATAAGAAAAAGGAACCTTTAAAATGGTATGAAACTGATAATATCGACACAATTATATTGCATGATTTCACAAGTGATTTTGATTATTTCAGGCATCCTCATGGTAAAACAGCAGAACAACAAACAATTTCCCAAAGAATGGCCGTTTTAAATAAAAGAAAGAATTTTATGTTTGAATTATTGGAAAGACAACGAACAACACTAGAGGTAAAAAATTAGTTTGTGGTTATACATTTTATAAATGTTTTGAGCGGTATTTCATTATCAATTAAATTTTCCTTTTTATTTTTTTTTTTTTAAATAAATAGCTATCCCTTTAATTAATTTAAAAAGAAGCCGATTTTGTGGTTTTTACATACCTATAACAAACAACATGTTTTTAAATTTTAGCGCATTTAGTGATATTTTAATATTTTTGTTTTTTTAAGGAAACCACAATTGAAGTTGAAAGAAATCGAAAACGTTTAGCTCAACTTAAAGCAAGAAGAGATGAATTAAATTTAATGCTTGATATTAAAACAGAACAGCTTAAGAATGTCCAAAATGAATTTACAAATTTTCGACTTAAAATGTCGAGGTAAATGAAATTGCTAGAAAATTAAAGAAATTTTTATATACTTAGAAACTTTTATATATAAATTAGCATATCTCTCACCTTTCAAAATTAGTAAATTAAGTTGTACAAATTTTTACGGTTTTAGTAGAAGTTTTAATTACTGGCTAATATACCTAATAGGTTTTAATTTACTGTAAATGAAATATAATTTCATATTACCTTAATGATAAGTATGTAAGATAATAGCGGAGGCATATTTTCATGTATTCTATTAATTTTTTTTATAATTTATGTGTTTTGTAAAAAAAAAATGCTAGATTTAGTAAATATTTGTAGTTAACTTAAGAAATAATTAAATTATATGGAACTTGATTTTAAAAAAAGCAGAATTGATTCATTTTTAATTTAAGTTTTTCTGCCAGAAACTTCGATAGAAAGCTCTTTTAAATTAATTAAAATTAGGTAAATTTAATGAATGATTAAAAAGTACCTTGATAGGTATTCCTTATTCTACTATCTAATTAAGTTTGTACACAAATATTTTTCGAATTTTTAGCTGTCTTCCTTTTAACATAATATTTCTAACTGATATTTCCTCGTGAAACATATAAACCTAAATAATTTTGTGTGCTAGTGTACAATACAGTCTCATAAATTAAACACGGATTTATGATATCGCCAAAAACGAATCTTATTTAAAAATATTTTTAAAACGTTGTTGAATATCCATGCTAAGCTCAATAAATTTTTCGTTACAAACGACTGAACGACGGATTTTGCTTCAGTAACGCATAAACTATTTATGATTTTTTTTTTTTTTTTTTTAAATAAATTAACGAAAATTTCCAGTTTTAATTTCAAAAGAAAAATAAATTCAAGGTCCTTTTTAATTATCGCATGAAAAAAGAATATCCTCCTCTTTATTTTTAATCCGTTTTTTTTTTAAATAACAATCCTATACAATTTACAAGGGAATAAGGAACACAAGAAAGAAAAAAAATTATACGCATATCCTTTGAAATACATACTTAGCATTTTGCTGTTTGTATTGTTATTAAAAACAAAGATTTGAAAAAGGATCATCATTTCTTGTTAAAAATAGTTTTATGAAAAGGTGATTTTTTATGAAGATTTTTTGTAATTGTATATACCTACCTACCTTTCTATAGGCATCATAAAATTTTCAAATTAAAGGTAAAATATTCTAAATAAGAAAAATAAAGAGAATGAGGAAAATTAAATATTCTTTGAAAAAATTATAATGATCATGCTTGCAATTCATGAATTCATGTCCTGTAAAGAAATTTCCTTTTAAATAACTAAAAAACGAGAAAAAATGCGATGCGAAAACAAAATCAGTTTCATAAAAGTTAAGTTATAGTTAAAAGAAATTGATTTCGATAATTTTCGTACAAATCCGATATTTCATATGTATTGGGTTTAAGCGATGTTCTATTTACGGTGTACCTACTATTGCCTATCTTTAGTGTTGACGTCGGCATTATTATGGTCCTGCTTGGTCTTGTTAGGAAAAAATTCATTGTTAAATATCTAAATAATTGTCATTAAAGCAAGTTGACTTATTTTATTGTTTTTGTATCGTATTGTATTGTTTCTGAATCGTTAATATCTCATACAACTTTAGTTGAAATAAATTGAATTGATCTAAAATCGAGTGGTAGCCTTGTTAATGTTTCGCCTTTTTGTTTTTTGAGTAGTTTTCTTAGTTATTTTCATTAACAGTAGAGTTTTTTAGAAAGTTATAAACAATTGGCATTTTGGAGGTTAGAGATGGTTCATATGCATATTTTATGTGACATTTTTTATTGTTACTGCTAAAAATGAATCACAGTTCTATCTACAGACATATACTATTTTATTTTACATTAATGGCTCAATCAAAGTGAATCTTAATTTTTTTTTAGTTTGGAATTAGAAAAAGGACAAATTTTAAAATCAGTAAAAAAATTTTCATTAATATTTGCTAATATTTCTTATTTTATGTGTAAAATTAAATAGGGGTTAAGCTAAATATTTTTTGTGCTATTAACATTTCTTTCTAAATGAAAAAACAGGATTTCAAAACTTCCTTATAAAAATGGTGTTTTATCTTTTTAATCTGGTTTGTGTATCTTTTAATTTTTAGCGAATAATAGTAATTTTTAGCCGTAAATAATAACAAATTTTTTATTTTGAGAAAATATTCTTTTCAAAACTTGTTTGAAAAGATCATTGTCCATGAATTATTTTGCAAATTGTTGAAGATCCTTAAAAATATGCAGCAAATCTTATCTATATAAATTGTATCGGCATACATGTATTTATATACCTACATACACCTTATTTATATTGAAATACTTATGCATAACAATATCAAATTATTTGCTTATCCTTTATATAGATTTCTTATTGTTCTACTTTTTTATTATGTTTTTATATATTTATTCAGGTAGAAATAAATTTTATATTTCTTGATTTGCATTTAAAAGGAAAAAATTGAGATTAACAGATGTTCCTCTATGTACGTATGTATGTATTTGAAAACAAGGATTCCCTTAAGTTAAGAATGAATAAAAGTAAATTAATTCGAAAGAAGAATGTTTTGAAGAAGCGTTTTGCACTGATAATATTGTTATATATATACATAATATATAATATGTGCACAAGAAGGATGTGTGCATGTATGTACGTACTTTTTGTTTAATGTTGACTGTCTTGATTTCTTAAGTTTTTTGCAATTGATTAAAAACCATCTGTTGCATGTTATTTCCGAGGCTATTAAATTTATTTTTATAACTCACGTGCTCTATAAATTACTAAAGGTATCTTAGTTAATGATATATTTGTGTATAAAATTTTAATGCAGATGTTTATTTTAAAGAATTTGTAACGCGCTATACGCTAAAAATGTAAGTAGGCTACCCAACTATGTTTGTAGGTACGTAAAAATGTTAGAATCTACAAAAGTCAATAGGAGTACATACATAACATTCAAAGTGGAATAAAAAGTTAATAAAGAATATAAAGAAAAAATTAAGGAATAAGAAAAAATTTTTAATTACTAAAAATAATTATTAACTATTATTTGTAGCAAATTTATAGATAGATTGCACAATACAGATTTGGAAATATTAACAAGATTTGATGTATTTGTATACAACATATGTACATCAAATATTTCAATTATAATATTTGCTATACCTATTTAAAATATTTAAATATAAATTTGATAATTTTCGCATATGAATTTAAACCACCTTTGCTGAATATATTAAAATTTTCCATGCCGCATAGAATTTTTATTTGGTGATAAAGCAGACAATCTTAAAAAAATATTTTTAATTGTTAACAAATTGATTACATTGGCAAGAAAGATTTTCTGATTGATAATAAAACCGTGTGTAAGATAATGTAACCGTGTGTAATTCGTAGACTAGTTATAATATTTGAGCTATTTCTTGAGAGCAAATTGATTTTTTCTCAAAGTTTAGTGTTGGATTTAACAGTTTTTTAATTTATTATTAATGTTAGCTCATATTCTAATTCTTGTTTCTCTCGTATCCTTTTGTTAATTAAAAATTTTGTGGCATTTAATAAAGCTACAGTTTTTAGCTAATTTATCAGTTGCTTGATATCCATTAATGTAACAATGTCCCGGTATTCAAAAAAAGGCCATGCTATTTGATTTTTCTTGCAAAATATCCGCAAATTCTTTAACGTCAAAATTTTGTTTTCAGTCTGCAAACTGTCTGACGTATAAAATTTTTACGGATAGAAATGTAGTAAACTTTTTACCCGTAATTGACTTTGAATTTTGATCATTCGTAAACGTCAAAACAAAAAAAAATTTTTTTTAGATTTAAAATAATTTTATACTTACATATTAAAAATTAACAAAAAAAATATTTTTTATATTATTTTTAACGTAATGATAGTCACTCAATACATCAAATTTATTTACTGAATTACTACGTCAGACTGTCTGATGTAGTAATTAAAAGAGAATTTAAACTTTGACTGAAAGTAAAAACGCAGTAGAGTATTCGTAAACTCAGACAGCTCAGATTTTGTAAAACCTTGACGTTTAAGAATTTACATTTCTCTAATTACTAAAAATAATTTAAATAAAGAATGTACTATTAAAAATTATTTTAATATTCTTGCTTAATAAATTAGATATTTTAAGATACATATTTGTATTTTTCTGTATTTTACTTGCGTGTTCCATGAAGTCCTTTATTTCAAAATTGCAATAGTACATCTTATGAGTACATTAATAAATATTGCTGTGCAGCAATACAACAAATATTTCAATTTTTAAATCACAAATATCCTTCCGATTAGAATTAAATGCAAAATTCCAATCTTTATCTTTTTTATTTCTCTGGGATTGTATAATTGGATGTATGTATGTAATTATGTGTTTGTTAATAATTCACTCGTGCATTCTAATTTTTAAGTAAATGATTTCATTAACTTTCATAGATGATTTAAACAACAACTTCTTAGTACGCTTTGTTAGCTTCGCCTAAATGTATGCAAATTATTTTTCAAAATTATTTTTATAATTCCTTTAATGTTTATTTTGCATAAATTTTCTTTCTTATTTATCGAATTGAATGAAAAAGAATCACGATAAAGTTGCTTTTAAAAGTTAATTTTAAAAATAAATCCAAAACTATATTATTATATTATAAATTTTATATACATTTATATATTCATTGCCTACAAATTTTATTGAAATTAAATTTTGCAAATTTATACAAAACTAATAATATTTTGAATATTTATACAAAACTTATATTTTTATATTGAATGAGGCCTGTGATGGTTTTTAATCTCTTATTAACAATTAAATTTTGAAGTAAAAAATATTGTAATATAAAATATATAAAAACAAAATTTAAATTTATTATTTTTGTGTTTCTGTAACAAATAAATACAATAAGAACTGTAGTAGCAACACGGAAAAATAAATGTAGGTACTATAAAATATTCCAATCAAAGCGAATAAAAAATTAAGAATTTTATAACATCTCTTAATATTAACTTGCTTATATAGATTATTAAAAAATTATTATTAAATGAAATACTATTACAATTATTAACTAAACAATTAGTTCAAAAACAGGTTTTATGCGTATATTTGTAAAAATATAAAATATTTGAATTGCAATAGTAATTAAAAATCATTAATTATTGGATTTATCATTATAATATTGTTATAAAATATAATGTTAAGATGCATTGTTAAATAAAGTTAGGACCTCGATGTGAAATAATTGAAAAAAATAATTTAATAAATTAATTGAAATTCTAAAAATAAAGAGCATTAATTCGAATTTAATATTTATGTATAAATAAATTTTCAATATAATTTGTGTTTCTTAAAGAAATTTATTTAAATTTTAGTTTGTAACATTTATTTTTTTTTTTTGTTTTTTTTTTACTAATATTTTTTATTATATTAATTAATATCAAATATATTTTAAATTTAATATATTTATTATTATTTAATAACATCATAAAATTAATTTACATACATATATTTTCTTTATATAATTATATAAAACAAAATTTACAAATATTTATAAATATTATTTCTTGGAAATTTGAAAAATTTATAATTACATTAATAGACTGGGATTGTTATTTTTTATTATACTGATCGCAAACTTTATTAAAAATTATCGTCAATTATTAATTTTTTTATAAAAGATTAATTGGGGATAATTTTTAAGGTTAAAGCAATCACAAGAGATTAACTCTGGTTAATAATAAAAGAAAAATTTATTTAAGAAGAAAATATTTATGTAAGTAAAATATTTAATTTTATTACATAAATATATTGTATATTCAAATTTTGTAATATATATATATATTAATATAAAATTTATTTATAAAATATATTAAATGTATAAAATTTTCATTTAACTGAGTAAATTTTATAACTCTTAATTTTTAGTGTTTCTTTTTTAGATTTATATTTTCTTTTTTAACTTTAACTAGATTTATTAATTATTTAATTATTTAATATTGTATTTTTAATTGTTAACTTAAATTTTATTACATATAAATTATATTGTTAAGTTTTTATTGAAATTTTGTAGAAAAATTGTTGTTTTTAATTAAAAATTATAATATTAATTTTAATTTTTATAATATATTAATAATTTTTCATTTTTTAATAAAATTAATAACAAATTTTTATTTAAATTATATTTTATAGTTATATATAATATTATATAAATGTAAAATTATTTAAAGCAAAAATTTCAAGAAAAACTAAATTTATTTTTAATTAATTGCAATTTCTATTTAAGTACAATATATTCATTTTTATTTTTAATTTGAATTATTTATATATTATATAATTTAATATTTTTTTTTTTTGTATAATAATTTTAATTAAATTTTTTGGAATTTATTAAGTATTTACAGCAATGCGTTAACAAATGTTTTTCATTTAATGAATTATGATTGTGATGCATTCCAACTTCACGTGTATAAATATCCAAACCATATTGTCCTTCCTCGGGGAAACTAAAAAAAAAAAAGTTAGAGAAATTTTAAAAATATCGTCAATATTATGAAGTATTATAAAAAATAAGAATACATAAAATTTTTTTATAATTCAAATTATCAAAAGAAATTTGAATTTTAAAATTGCAATTGTAATACCCAATCGAGCTTATAGGCGGTTTAATTGATAAATTTTTGATGATCAATTGCAATTTTAAAGCCAGTCTAAATTGTTTTACTATTTTAATTTATTAGAAAGGACATAAAGAAATTTAATTGAATAATAAAAAATTGCCATTTGTAAATTAATTTCTTCCTAAGCTTTTTTAAAATTTTAATAGCTTATCTATTAATTCTTCTCAAAATGTTTAATAAAATAAACCATAATTTTTCAATTCTAAGTTTAGGCGTAGTTACTTTATGCAACCTTTCATACAAAAGTCTGAAAATACTAACTTTATTGTAAATGTTACAACTTCATCTGAAACATTATGCGTCACATATTTTGATAATTTCTTTTCTTCAATACCATTTTTATGTAATGTTGCCATAAAATCTGTTAATAATCTGGACATTCTGAATTGTATATCAACTCCACGATTTGCAAATATTAAAGGTTCCTAAAAACAAAGAAAAAACAAACAGTTAATATTTAAAATTTAAAAAACAGTTTTTTTTAAAATTTAAAAAAAAAATTGAAAAATTTTTACTTGATGTGTAATTGGTATTAAACCAAATAATCTTGTTGCTTTTGTTGGTCCCCATTCTCCGCTTGCACAATCTGGTAATGGTACCATAACAGTTTCAAGAACTTCACAACAAATCTAAAAAAAAAAATAAATAATTAAATAAAATTTTAAAATTTATAAATGTTTCCCTTGGGATTATACCTTAAATTTACAAACAGATTTAAATTTCATTGGTTCACCGGTGAGGTATTCTTGTGGTGTTACAGCATTTGCAAATATATCTAATAAAAATGCACCAGAACATGGTGCATGAACTCTGAATGCAACAATATTACCAATAACTGATTGCATTACAAAACGTTTTAATGAAACACCATCAAATGAATCCTCTTCGCTATCATAAAATTTTAAATTATAATGAAATATTAAACATGATTGCATATCAGATGGCATTGCAATTCGTACTGTAGCAGCTCCTATAAAATTTTCAACAAAAAATTTATAAATAAATTATTAAGAAAAAAAAATAATGTTTACTCTTTGATATACCAGTATCGTCAGTATATACAACAGCACCATATCCTTCATCAGCAAAATGTAAACCATAACGGAAGAATAATGATCTAACAAATGGTAAATTTTCAAATTCTTTTAATGAAATTGGCCTTTTTAATAGTTGCCATTCCTCTTGTAATGGGAAAAATTCATAAATAAATTCACGTGGATCAGTTAAGAAATAATGATCATCATATTCGTATCTATAAAAATCAAGGTATCAAATCAAGGATTATTTATTAAAATTAAAATTTAAAAAAATATTTATATTACCTCAAGCTATCATTTTTACCACGACCAGTTTTTGGTGCTTCTTTAGCATTTACCAAATGTCTAGCACCCCAATTACATTGAACAAATCTCCATGCTCCAGCAACATAAACAGCATTCCATGAATTTCTAAAACGTGAATCTTGAAATTTAACTCCAGGTTGATATCCAGCACTTTTTGAATAACCTTTTATAACAACACAATGTAGGCCAGCATAACTGCATAAACGTTTAAATAGAACATGATAACTTTCTGTACCATATTTAATGCCTCGTAATAGACCCATTGGTGTATCACCACGTAAATCATCATCAAAATGCATTGCATTCAAATTTTTTACTGTAATCCAACGGAATATCGTACGTGCTTTTTCTATATCTGATGTACTACGACCGACTAATTGTCGTACAAGATCTGTAAATGTTTTTTGATCTTCTTGAGCAACCTAAAATTATTAAAAATATGCATTTAGAAAAAAATTTATTGCTGTGCTTTCATTTTCGAGCAAAATGTAATTTACCGATATAGCAATTCGGTCGACATCTTCGAATTCAATTGGATCAGTGTATATTTGAAATTTACTAACTGTTGGTGGTGTTGGTTTTGGTGGTGTATGAGGATATTCTGCCATTGATATTATTGCTTCTTCTGGGAAATCATCATCTAAGAATATACTTTCATTTTGCATATATTCACTTCGGCGTGCACTTATCAATTCTAACATTTCACTTGATTGCCGATCGACTAGAGCAGCGGTTTCAGAACGTTCATGTTCTAACATTTTTCTAGTTAAACTCTCTTTCTTTTTTGTTCTTCTTAATGTCATATTCTTTTCTAAATCTTCTTTTTGTCTTTCATGGCGTAATGTTAAAATATTTTGTTCATCACGATTTCGTCTCGATGTTGCCAATTCCTTTTCGAAACGATGTGTTAAACGTTGTAATTCACGTTCCCATTCATCTTGAATTTCTGATTGTATTTTTCGATCTTCTTCTTCTCGTTTTCGAGCAAATTTTCTATATAAATCATCTTCTTCTTTTCGATGTTTCATTTCAAGACGAGCTTGCTCTTCGCGTGCCTGTAATATAAATAATAAGAAAATATTGTTAATGAAATATAAGTTGATTTCAAGAACTTTTTGAATATTATTTTTAGGACTTAACAAATCAAAATACTATTTTTACATTTAGCAGGTTTTCTTTTAAAAAAACGGAGATTTTTTTAAGTGAAATTAAGATTTCTTGTTACTTTCGGGCCTAATATTAATTTATTTTATCAAATTCTAGTCCATTGTCAATAAAACTGAGTATTAAACGATTAATTCCTTAACAATGTTGCGGACTTCTTATCAAAGATCGCAAACTGTAATATTTCCTAATGAAGTTTTACAGTGTGCATGCATGTACTCACTTATAATTGAATTTTTTTAATTAATTTTTTAATTTAATTTTAGCAATTTTTTTTTAATTAACATTTTATTACTATAAAATTTTGCTATTAAAACTGCATAATTTTGGATTTTATATGATAAAATCTTTAAAAATCACCTAAAAAATTTCAACAAAATTTCGTAAACGAATGATAATTATCATTCCTATTAACAGGTTGCCATAAAAATATAATAATCTTAAATTGCATCGCAAAATGAAAAAAATAGACGCACTTAAATTATTGCGAACTTTTAAAAATAAAAAAAATAATAAAAAATGTTGTCATATTTGTATGTGCACATTTGTGTAGATAAAAATGTTTAACCATAAAAATTAGATTAATAAAAAATATTGAAGTATGTGAGAATGTGCTTACGGTATGAAAATGCAAAATTTAAAATTTGTACGCGTATACTTTGAAATTTTAGGCCAATCTTGATTAGAGAGCTAAATGTTATTACAATATTAAATATACAATGAAAATTTTAATAACAAAAATTTGTTAAGAGTCAATTGCAAAAAAGAAGACTCGTAAGTTGTTTTACTACTGCTACTAATAATTATTTTAAAAAAGTATAAAGAGGGGAAATTTTACCATCTATCATTTTCTTGGTACAAAATATGCCTCAATTTTCAAGAATCAAAAAATTCGTGACTAATTTTTAAAAAGTTGTCGTATTTATAATTGCAGACTATTATTAACGATAACCCTACACATCCTTATACTACTAACATTTCCTTCTGCCGAACCTACATATACATATTTCTGAAATCTACTAAATCCCCTTCGATATATTAGTATATAGAAATATTTAAAAAAAATTGAAGCCAATAGAAAATGTTTTGGCTCTAAAATGAGCAGTGTAATGTGGAAAAATATTTTACAAGAAATGTTTTTAAATATTTGAAATAGATACAAGAAACTTTGACTTGACCATCAAAGTATTTTTCTTTTATAACTTGTGAGTTTTAACTTTTTAAAGTTATTCCAAACCATTTCAAAATTTTTCGATATGGAAAATTTAGTTTTTAAAAATTACGAGATTAGTTGTTAAAAATTAATGTAGCTCTACAATTAATGATAATTCTGTTTGGAAAAAGGCAAATTTAATTGCGAAAATTAGAATTCTAATTAGAATTTTTATTCAATTTGTTAAAAATGTTTGGCAAATATTAAGATCCTGAAAAGTTTTATTACTTAATCCAAATAAATTCTTATAGTACATTAAGCAATAATTTTATGTTATGAAGGTTTGTAAAATTGCTGCCATGGTAATTGACTTTATATGTTTTTCTTGATGTCAATGAAAATTCAGTAATCTTAAGCTTTACTTGATACAGTACGCCATAAAATATTTTAAGACTTTCATATATAGTTAGAGCCCTAATTAAATATTAAGACATTTAATAACAATTAGTAAGTGAGTGCAAACAAGAAGTGAGCAATTTTTAAAAAATATTTCTAAATGCCGAACTAAACATTAAAATTTTTTTCAAGTATTTTTTTGCAATAAATGTTATTTTTTTTGGTTTTCTTTTTAAAATATAATTATGAGACATAGAAAATATTTTCAAAGTCACACGTTACAAGTTACAGTTTTTGTTGTTTTCTTTCTGTTTTTTGTTATATGGTAATTTACTAAATAGTTTTTTTTTGTACAGTAAATTTTTTGTTTTTCTTGTATACTGTGTATAAGAGAACACACCTTCTTTGACAATGAATTTTATTATTATATAAATTGTGTGTAAAGTGAATATGGTCAAGTTTATTATTTTTCCATAATGCCCTAGTTAGAGTACAATTTCAGTACTTGAAAAAATATTGATACAAATATATACGTATAACACTTAATGTAGTAATTACGTTCTCGTAACAGATATGCGTTACCTATTATGTTAAAAATTTATAAGAGTATTTATAATTAGAATGAAATTAAAACCACAATTTAAAAAATATGCGGGAATATTTAAATTTTTTTTTTGTAAATTTATAATGCTTATGAAAATAATTTGCTCGGATACCACATTTCTAACAATTTCTCAAATATATGCTAAGTGATTATAGATCTATAAGTTTAGGTTTGATGTCCACCCAGCTCTTAATTAATATATATAGAAATACATTCATAAAGTATGGGATTTCTTTTATTTTTTGTATGAGACTACTGTCATCATAAAAATAATTTTCTTCAAATTATAATTTTAATAATCAAACGCGAAATCATTTCATTCTTCTATACAATTGCCAACTTTTCGCAATTTTTGAAATGTGGAAGGCATACCTGATAAAAACGTCAACAAAGGTGTGCAATGGATGGGCTATGAACTAAAATATTGTAATAAGAACTCGATAAATTGAGTAATGTGAACTTTATTACTCCAATACTAATATAAGACTTAAATGCATGTAGTTAATGAAATATATGAGTTTATAAAACAATAGAAACAAATTAGTGTTGCCATATATATAATAAAATATTTAAAATTATTATAACAACATGAAGCTTCTTCTCAAGTTTTGATATAGGTACTCATTGAAAAATATTCAAACATATGAAACGTTGCCATAAAACAATATTTAATTACTAATCAAAATTTTTTCAAACAAAAATAGGATAAGCTCACTTGCACAAGCTGTGGCTTGGTTTACAGATACTCATTCAAAAGCTTTGAAAAAATTTATCATATTACCATATTCAATTAAAAACTCCTCATATAAAAATTTGAATTCACTCTTTTGCTGCACTGACCTACCTTTTCCCATTTTACTATTAAATCATGAATTGCCATTAAAGACAGTTTATTGTATAACATGTCATTTCAATCAGGCATTGACCAGTAAGAGAAGAATCAATTATTAAGTTCCGCATCAGACAAATACACGTACATATACGTAAGTCAATGTAAGCGTGGTAATTAAATGCACTAAAAGAACCTATATAAAATTTAATTTCAACTAATTTTTATTGAACAAAATAATTTTTTATTTTATAAAAATAAAAATATTATAGGATATGAAAATAAAAATTTTAAAATTAATATCAAAAATGATATTATAATCTCTTTAAAAATATTAAACTATATCTTGAAAGGTTAATTTAAATGACCTTAAACCATGGAAATTTTATATAGAAATATAATTTTATTATATACAAAAATATGCACACATATATGTAGTATTGTTTTGTATAATTGAATATTATTGTGAATGGTTGTGAATTGTATTGTGATCAAATTTATATTATATTTTGTTAAACAATAGATTTGCAATAATATACTCTTATATACCTATATATTGTAGTTAAATAAAAATTAGGTTAAAAATAACTATTCATTTTACTATATTCTCCACTCACTGCACTGTAATATAGTGAGGTATTCATGCCATTTAAAATTGAATTTAAAGAATATTAGTGGGAATTCTGAAAGAATCTAACGTTTTGAAGAGGTTTCAAAAATTTCTTTTTGAATTAAGTGTTTGTTATAACATATAATGAAGCATGTATATACTATGGTCGTACGCAGTCTAGTGATGAGAAAATGCAACTAACACAAATTAATGATTTCGTAAGAGATCGTCGAAGAAATTCTTAAACTTCTAAGAGATAGCAGAAAATCCATTTATATAAATTTTTAAAATTTTTGTGGTTGCACTCTTTCATTAGGAGAAAGACCACGTCTCATTACCCAGACGTGGTCTTTCATTTTTCGATCTGCAATCGCGGTTCTTTCAGAGAGAAAAAAAATTATGATATCGAGCTTCGTTTTGTATAGAACACTCAAATTTTCTTCGTAGCTGGCTCTCTTGCATGCGAGTAAATAACAATTAAAATAATTTTAGAATTTATATAACGTCATATCTTGTGCAATACCGCATAAAACTGAATTCATTGGTTCGTCGTTTTTGAGCTGAGCAATTGTTTGTCGTTTTAGAGACGAGAGTTCGTCATTTTTTGTTATGGTGCATATATGTATTACTTTTTTGACAAGAATTATATATAATTTTAATAGTTCAGTATGTGTAAATATGATGTTTTAAAAAAACCTCCGCACTAAAGTTGAAGTTGATTCAAGTTTTTGAGAGAGGGAAAAAAAGGTGTACTAAAAATAAAGAGAATGTCAAAAATTCTAATTTTCATGTAAAATACATTAGCTCGTCGTTTAACTGACGAACCAATGAAATCATATTTTTCTAGATACAATTTTCGTCTAAAATAAAATTTACTTAACATAGTTATAGTATTTCTACATCGACAAATTACTAAAATCACTATAATTACGAGTATTATGCCAAATCTTTCTAGAAATTCTATATGGGCCGGTTTTGAATGCTACTCGCTACTATATACTCGAAAATTTCATTGAACTCTGAAATGGATGAAGTTTTTTTGTAATTAGTTTGAAAGTCACATTACTTGGCCTCAATCACCGGGTTCCGAAAAACAAAAAACAAATATCCTATTGATTACTTTAATAACTTCTATTTTAATTTAAAAAAAAAAAAATTTCTTATATTTTTATGATGCAATTTAGGTTAAATTGCATTTTTTCTCATGCATTGACATACCAAGGTACTATTGTAGTGTAATCGTAATGTAAGTATAATGTATACAATATAATTGTATAAGAATATATTATAAAAGACCAT